TATTTATATATATTTCTATTATATATTCTCTATATACAGCTACTCCAAATTAAAATTAATCAAAATACTGTCTTAACTATAGAAAATAATAATTTTAATAGAATTTTTAATTAAAAATATACTTTTTTTCTATATATAATTAATAAACAGAATCTTTTAATATTATTAATAGAGTATTCTTATAATTAGTTAAGATAGTTAGGTTAATCCTAGATTAACTATAGTTAATCTAGCTTACTGTCTACTATACTAGATAAAAATTAATAGTTTTGGTACCAAGTACAGTTAATCTAGATTAACTATCTAATTTTTAGCTTAACTGTAGTTAGATATAAAAATTCTATTAACCTAGCCATAACCTAGCGGTTAGGTATAACTGACCCCATTAACCTAACCTAACCTGGCCAAACACCAGTCTAGTCTTAAGTAAGTAGCTAGACTATAGTATATTAAACTCCACAAAAGACTTATATCTATTAGACTTATTTCTATAGAAATAAATAAGTATCTATTTACTGACTATAGCAGTACTCTACTAATTATTTATATTAATAATATTCTTATTACCGGTCCTAATATCTCTATTAAGAGAGTAAAATTATAATTTTATAACTTATTTAATATATCAGATATTAGTATAATAAGTTATTATCTTAGAATAAAGATTATATATAATAGAAAGAACTTTATACTCAAGCTAATACAGAATATCTATATTAAATATATTATTAAAGTATTTAATCTTGATTTGTACAAAATCTTGTCTATTTCTATAGTACCCGATACTAAGATTATTAAGATAGATATAGAAATTAATCTATAGATTAGATAATAATATTAAACTCTACTTAGATCTATAATATATTTAATATTATAAATTAGACCCGAGATAGTATTTATAGTTAGGAAATTATTAAAATATACTTATTGCTCTATAAATAATTTATTAAATTGTGTACTGCAGTTGATATATTTTTTATATTCTATCTTTAATTACGGAATTCTTTATAAATCTAATAAAAATAATAACAAACCCCTAGTATAGCTAGAGAAAGTCTATAGCTATATTAATACCGACTATACAGAATATCTAAATATACAGAAATTAACTATTAGATATATCTTTATACTGGCTAGTAATCCAATATTATAATTATCTAAGTTATAATCTACAGTAAATTTATTAATATATAAAACTAAATATACTACTGTATTATTAGTAGATTATAAAATAAAGTAAATTATCAGTATTCTAGAAAAAGTAGAATTCGGGAATATAAGATTAATAACTCTATATATCGATTCTTTACTAGTAATTTAACTTACTCAGAATACTTAGTTCTATACACAGTTAAAGTATATTAAAATTATAATATATTAGATTTATAAAGCTATTTATAATAGTAATATTAATTTATAATATATTTCTACTAATATAAATCCCGCTGATCTATTTACTAAGCCGCTTTTAAAGACATACTTCAACTAACTGACTGAAAAGATCAGAATTTGCTAATAGACTCAAAATATTATAAATATTGAAGATATTCTCTCTTTAGGAAATTTCTATGGCCTCAATCACACTATTAAGAGGGTGTGTGAATATATAAAGACTCTTTATTAGAATAAAGGCTCTTTGTATTTAACCACATAATCTCCGGCCTATATAAAAGGCCTATCTTTGTTCTAGGAATCAAGTAGAAATCAAGAATCTTACCTTCTTTAAAAAGGCATCATATATTCTTCATTCTTTACAGAACATAGCTCTTGCCACTTTAAAGGGGGTATAGATAGCGGTGCATAATTGGTGCGCTGTTTCTCGAAAATATTCAGTTGTCTAGTAAACAACCCCTCTTTTATATCACAGAAAGCGATAACTATGTTAATCGCGGAGATTCGATCCTGATATTCCTCCTTAACAGTAGAACCGGGTATAGTGAGAATGGTATTGATCAGAAACATATACTGGGTAGTTATATACTCAGTTCGCTCTAGCGTGCCTATTATCTCTTCGTCCACTAATTTCCCGGAGAGTTGCCGCTCACTGTCAATTACTGGCTGCTCGTTCTTGTATCGTTCCAGATTCTCGCGTACCAGACGATTGCGCTCGCGTGCAACTGATTTCAGAATTTATACTGTACCCGCTGGTACCGCTGGTTTGCACTTTTACACTGTTTCTCACAAGCCTTGACATGTTTTTGTGCCTGGCAAGAGGAGCGCGGCAGCTCTTCTGCTGCCCATCGGAAATTGGTATCAAGTCTTTACAGGAATTCGCCTTCCGCTGTCATAGGCTCGCTTCTTCCCGTCCCGAATTTGTTTACGTTTACGCACATGTTCCTGCAAAGCACGCACGCGAGGTACTTGGTTAACACAGCTGGTGTTATCGAGCCTGTATGGTCTCCAGGGATCGATTGACCAGCTTATAGAAGCGGCAAAGCGCATCAACTGCTTTTGGGTCGATAAACCACAGACAATTGCCTGGGCGTCAATATGTATACCCACACTGTAGTGTTTCACAAACGTGTTGATACTAGTATGCTGTAATATCACATTTTGGACCTCGTTTGTTACATCTGTTGCTCAAGGGCAGAAAGGGTTAAGACTTAAGCGATCCGAACAGATAAGAACTGGGCAAATAAGAGCGACTTATGGCTATTATTGAATGCTTTTGCGGCTTTGTACTGGAGTCTATAGGATTTAGTAATCTGTTTAAACTCTGTGATCTTGTTACTGTACTTTATCTGATATTGTAATACTCTGCCTACTATTTATATTTTTATAGTAATTCGGATTCTATCGGCTTTATATACAGTCTGACAGAATATAAATCGATTTAGTATTTCATCTTTGAGTTTTTATTTCTGCTGTCCTAGATTATCTAGAATACCGAGATTATATAAATTTTCGGGGCAGTCTAAAATCTTTCTGTCCGTAAAAAATATTTTGAATACTTGAAGGCGCGAAAAAATATCTGTAAAAGAAATATGTGTAGATTGAGGACTAAGCTCGCGTCGAAGATAATCTCTGGGATAGAGAATATATTTCTATTCTATATATTAGCTATAGTTCACTGTTTATACAGCAGTTAAATCCGTAAGCTGCTGGGACTTACTGTTTCTTTTTCTTTAGAAAGGTCTTAGTATATTCTGGAGTCAGGTAAATAAAGAGTCGAGGCTGTTCTCCTTCGGGATCATAGACTAAAGTCAAGATAAGATTCTGATAGTATAGATCTAGGAGTATCCCAGAGTGTTTGCCGGTAATAGTTGCTAGTTGACAGAAAAGAAGTAGCTGAATCCGGAGCTACCTATACTAGAATACTATCTCGGTTGTTGATAGCAGTACGCGAGCAAACTCCGGCACATTTTCGATATATATTATAGCTTTTGGTCGGCGGCTAAGCTTCAGTTTCTTCTTGTTAGTGATGATAGCCAGCACCTTGATACGATCAATCAGAGTTCTTACTCAGATATATCGGGCAATACTATCTATATCTAATACTTCGGCGATAGTGTCCCTGCTGAGCCTATATATAATCTCTGTCTTGTATATCAGATACTACTACTTTCAGAGTATTTGTACTTTATACCCATATTTTGACAGCTCTTTTTCTCCCGTTACCAATTATATTGCCAGGAGAAGAGAGCTTTATAAAAATAAACTGTCTTCTCTGAGTTAGACAGCCAGCGGAAATATTTAATGGGGTTATACTTTCTACTGACAAAATCTAGAGATAAGGCTGTACTATTGGCAGTAGTATCGAGGCTAAGGAGTGACTGTTCCTCACTGATCCCAATATTCCTGAGTCTTGTCCAACGTCTGCTGAAACCTTGTACTATAGTGTTTCTGTTGGAGCTGGGAGATGTTGAGATGTTCAGCCTCCTGGAGGTAGTGTTCCCCGGGGAGTTCCTGCCACTCCTCGTTGTCCAAGATCGAGTCATCGTCGCAGGCGTCATCGCCGCTGTCGGGCTCGGATTCGCCGGTTGACGAGGTGCCAGAGGCGTCAACCTCATCTGAGAAGATAGGTGACAAGTCGCTTGTCCCGTCATTCTGACCTTCGGATGCGACCGGCAGGGAATACCGCATGCCAGGAACGGAGAGTTAGAGAGTGAGAATGTTCGGTCAGCGAAGGCAAAATTGCCGAGAGCATATAAACTAGTCGGAGGTGGACGTGAAGGACGAAGAGTCCCGGGGTACATTGAAGAGAACCACATATTGCATAGCTAAGATAAGAGTGAAAAGATAAGAGTGAAAACATGGGATCACACGCGCCAGCAGTCGCTAGCAAACCAGACCCAGAGAAGGGACCATATCAAGCCACTCCTTGGAATATCCAGCTCTCTGCAACAGACACACCAGGTTTCACTCATGTTGAAAACCTGGAGCAGAGAAGCGCAGACCGGGCCTCAGATCTAGTCATGAACAACCACTCAAAGTTTCACGCCTTTCATGACGAAATTGTGGGATTCCACAGTGAGTATCCTGGTTGATACATAGCGGTACCTCTACTGACCAGCGAGCCAGACCACATTAGCCACCATATTTTAACGCTGTGGGCCTTGGGGGCTACTCCCGATGAGATGCAAGCTGCGTATGACTTCAACAAGCCCTTTCAGCTTCTGACCTACTATAACGATCCCTCCGTCAACATTAAATTGCGGGACCCTGCGTTCTTTCGGCAAGGTCTAGGCAACTTTGAGCTATATGGGGACTACGTCCGCTTCTTCCAGGCCGAGGTGGCGGTGAAAGGTATCCCCACTGTCTTGAATGACTATCTTTTCAAGGGAGACACGCTGGCAGAGGACCTGCTAGCCCGACTGTTTGCCGGTATTTATGGCCCCAATATACAGCTGGTACCATTTGTTAAGATCATGTCTACAGGCTTTCTCCACCCATTGATCAATCTCGGATTTGCCTTAGAGTTTCAACAGCCATTCCTAGCGGCGGAATGTCTGGCTTCAACATGTCTCCACCCATCATATCCTGCGGAGTTCCTCACCACGACTGACCAGCATTTGGAACGTTACGGACGACCACGAAGTCTCCCAATGCTCTCCATTGTTGAAGGGATGCGTCTAGATCCAGTGGTCGCCACAGCAGTTAGGCCAGAAGATGGCAACAATCGAATTGCTGATGCCTTGCTGAAACGAGCCCTCAAGGAGCTAATCCCCCACTTGTCCAACTTCCAGGTAGAGCGAACGGAGGAAGACCTCGCGCGCAAGACGGCAGAGATACTGCAAGCCTCTGCCTACATCTGTGGTGCGGCCCAGCATCCGCGCAAAGTTGAAGCCCTTGACTTTGTGATGCTGCATTCACTGACGGCTGCCGTATTCTTCCCCACCATTATTAGACAGGAATGGATGAGTATAGAGACACGAGCTCGGCTATTGGAGTGGAAAGGACGCTCAGACCTGATCACCTATGCGGCCCTGGGATGCCCACAGTTGTACCCAGATAGAATCACCGGGTACCAACCCAAGCAAGTGGCAACTGGGTGGTCTGACGTGGTGCAGCGCGCACGTGTTTACCAGGACGACGGACATACATGCAAGGTCATCCGAGCCCTTATGTGTGCTGAAAATGTGTGCCAACCCTTTGAGGGAGAGGAAGGTTTCCCTTTGAAGAACGCAGACTTTCTCACACTGGCACACATGACAATGGATTCAGTCGAGCGCATGTTGGATCCGAATTGGGTGCGGCAAACCGAAAAGGTCAAGCAGATGTCGGCTCAAGGCCGCGGACAGCACTCACAGGTCTCTGCGATCATGTTGCGATGGGTGCGTTGGTGTGGAACTGAAGGAGCCTGGGATGATTTCCCAGATCTGGAGGAGTTTATCCCGTAAGCATGATATAGATTGACTGTCACCTGCTATGAATATATAGAGCTTAAACCACTAGAGGCAACCTAATACAATAGTCTCAAAACTCAATCGGCTGGATAAAGCTGTACGACAAATGTATGAATAGTCTATCATTCTAATTCATCTAAAATTGATTTCCTTCGGCGAATGGCACTGTATTTCGTGTTCAGAGCTCCGTGGTGCTGTACTTCTACGGGTACGGATGTTCGGAGAGCGAGATTCAGTCTCCAACCTCGGGCCGAATTGAATCATAGACTACGATCTCCTTAGCAAAAGGGCGACGGGTAGACTCTATACTCTACCAATCTGTGAGATTGTCATCTAGGAGCATTCCCAGAAAAGACTATACATTGCAATGCGTCGCTACGCCATCCTAGGAGCTACTGGCAACACCGGCCAGGCACTACTGAGCATCCTCCTGCAGTCGTCCGACAACCAGATCAACGCCTACTGCCGTTCTGCTTCAAAGCTGAACCGATTGCATCCCGAGATCGCTCACCACCGTCAGGTGAAAGTGTGGGAAGGGTCACTGGAGGATGTATCGTTAGTATCCGAATGCATTCGAGGCACGCGAGCTGTCTTCATGGTAGTCGCGATTCCCGACAACATGCCATACTGTACCATCGCCCAGGACTGTACCAATGCCGTGCTTAACGCTCTCAGAAAGCTGCAAACAGAAGGGTTCCAGTCGCTACCCCAGTTAATTGTTCTATCTTCTGCTAGCCTCGAGGACTCTTTGTGCGCCGACGTTCCGCCCTTCATTCACCGAATCCTCAACACAGCCGCTGGTAATCTCTACAGTGACCTAGCGGAGGCCGAGAAGATCCTACGTGCTCAGAAGCATTGGGTGTCCACAACTTTCGTCAAACCTGGCGGACTAGTGCACGACGTGCAACGTGGTCACACCCTCAGCACAAAAGCCGCTAAGACGCCAGTTTCCTTCCTCGATGTGGCAGCAGGGATGGTGGAGATTGCTAATGTGAACGATAAGAGATATGACATGAAGAATGTGAGTGTCAATGCGATCGGGGATAGGACGGCGTTTCCGTGGAAAGGGGTATACTATGTGATGACTGGGCTGCTATTCCATTTCTTTCCTTGGACCTACAAGTATTTCGGGGATTGTCCCATGCCCAAGTCCAAGAAATATCTGTAATAAAACATTTAGATGAAAGGCCTAGGTCGTTTAGAACTAGTACAGTATGAACCGATCATCGTCGATTGCCGTTCAACTCTGATCTGTACACATAAGACTCTATTACGTGAAAGGGTCAAGTGCCCAGCCGAGCAGGACTACTGAAATCCACGTAGCCGCCATTGCAGACCAGGATTTCAATCCTCTGCTGGTATGCAGTGCAATTGGTGATCCACGACTGTGGAGCTGCTCCTGTAATATCCGTGGATTGCTGCCCACCTCTTCGTACCTAGAGGTTATTGTCAGAAGCTACACTGAAACCACCCTCATGTTTGATTGATTCCCACCATTTCGAGTCGATCTCCTGTAAACCTAGGTGCGGACTAACATCTGTGTCTTTCGGGCCTTTGCGGTCCTGGATCGTCCAGCCCATGCCGAGGCAGGCCCATGGATTCTGATAAAAGGAGCGGATGTCGAAGTCTTCGTAGCGAGGCTGGTCGATGACCTGCTGATAGTGCAGCGAAGAACCGGGCCAAATGGCATTGACACGCCCCGTCTCATTGTTCTTGTACCCTAAATTGCTCTTGTAAGTAAACCCAGTCGTGGGCATCGGCAGAGGAAACATACAGCTTCGGCATTTATCTTTCCACACTGTGTGCTTCACCCACTCCTGAACATGATCGTTGAATTGATCTGTGCGATCTTGTCGCGGCACCCAGCTACGGAGATTCTCATTCTGGGTCTTTTTAATCCACTGCACCACGTAGTTCGAGACGGCCTGCAGCGGCCCAATGACACTGCCATTCTGGATGGGCCACGTCGGCCCGATGAATGTGAAGAAGTTGGGCATCTCGGGCACCGCAAGGCCCAGATACGAATTGGGGCAATCCTTCCACTTCTCCCTCAGGTCCACGCCGTCTCGGCCCACAATGGGAAAATGTGGCCGATAGGAGGCATCGAAGCCTGTGGCACATACTACCGTGTCGACTTGGCGCTCTACCCCATCACCGCCTACCACACCCTTCTCTGTACAGCTCACCACGGGGGTGAAATGTACATTGACGTTTTCCTTCTGAATCGCCTCCATGTAGGGGTCCCCGGGGGTGATGCGACGACAACCAAATGCAAAGGGCGGGTCAAGCCCTTCCCTGAGCTGCTCATCCTTGATCAAGCTTGCGGTGCGCTGGCGAAAAAACCCAGATGCCATCGTTTGCCCCTTGGATCCAGAGTAAAAGGCCCCCCACATGCCGTTGACCTGGTCCTCGATTGACTTTGCGTGGGCCACAAGTGCTGCGGGATTGCGCCGGAATTCCTCTCGCTCGGTGGGCGTGTATTCCTTGGTCTGGCTGCCAGTGTTGCCCGCTAGCACTCCGAACCATATGCCCGTCCGCACAAAGACATCGAGATGCTTCACCGTTGGTTGCATCCCGGGCACCGTTTGGATAGATGATGCTCCGGAGCCAATGACCGCCACCCGATCCTGCTTCCATTGCGGCTCTTGGTAGTCGTCGGGCCATCGTGCGGTATGGATCACGCGGCCTTGAAACCGGTCATGGAGGCCGGGGATTTGCGGCCACTCCGGATGATTGAATACCCCCGTCGCGTGAATTAAGACGTGACAATGATCTTCAAACTCTCGTGGCTCACTCCCGCCACCGTACTGTCGTAGTTGGATCGTCCATTCTCCGCGGTCTTCGTTCCAGTAGCAGCCCACTACCTCAGTGTGGAACACCATGTAGCGGCGAAGATCAAAGACTTTGCATACCCGGTCGAGGTACTTCCATATATCGGGCGCATAGGAGAAGTATCGGGGCCAGTCTGGATTCGGGGCAAATGGGTAGGTGTAGGCATGGCTCGGGACATCGCAACCTGCCCTGGGATAGCGGTTTTCCAACCAGGTGCCACCCACATCCGCATTTTTTTCATACAAAACGTGTTCGACATTTGCGCATTGTTTCTGGATCTGGTATGCCATCAGTATCCCCGACATGCCAGTGCCGATGGTCACGACCCGCAACGGGCGGTTGGCCGGGTCCATCCAGGTGAGATCTGGCGGGATTTCATACCCGGTCGAGCCAGGCTGAGAGTAGTCTACTTTTGACGTCATGTTGTGTTATGATCAGTGTGACTTGAGTGACATGGAGAGCATTATCTTGAGCTTGGCTAGAGCGATGAGGCCCTCCCCAAATACTTGCATTCGGCGAGCGACAATTTCCCGACGGCCGAGACGGGAATATCTCCATTTACGAATGGTAGATTTATGTCATTCTTTCATTAGTATCCAGTCCAGTTGAATAAGAACCAGGAATATCAGTGTGTCACGCTATCGCTAATCCACCAGGGAGCATTAGATTCTAAAAGTATATATCGATTATATAGTAAGTCTGGCTGGATCATACATAGAGGAAGGAAAACGCCCCACTACACCGCATAATGTAAATCTGTAGAGCACATCCGATTGCAATAGTGTCATGTACAAAGGCACAACGGTAATTAGAATAACAGAAAGGACAAGGAACAAGATTCCGGTGGGCGAGAAACGGTTCAAATGGGCATGCATGACTCTCGTTCCCCGTCCGGAGTCCGTGCTGCAGCGACTACTTGTGCTGAGCGCAAGGGTCTGGTGCAATATGATAGACGTCCTCATCCCAAGACAACCACAAGTTAGATGTCCCATATTGCTCGCTCCTTTAGACCATGACGAACACTGCGTCAAGAGAGCTCATTCGGGCCATTAAGGACGTTCCGCTCACCTGCTGGATCCTCGCCGTGGGTGGCGCCTGGATTGCGAGTAAATTTGTCCAGGTAAGTCATACTTCTGCAGCTTCTGCATGGTCAACTTGCAAAATGTGTGTCTTAAGTCCTCCACTAGATCATTCAAACGGCATATTTCAGTCCTCTTCACAAGGTTCCTGGTCCCTGGTATGCACGCTTGACAAGCGCTCGGCTTGCCTGGGCATCATTTGCCAACAATCGCATTTATTATGTGCAATCCCTCCACGATACGTATGGACCTATTGTGCTCATCGGCCCCGAGGAGATCGACATAGCCGATCCCGTGGCTGCTAAACAAATCCACCGTATGGGCTCGGGGTTCGTCAAAGCTCCCTTTTACAAGCTGCTCTCCCCCGGTCCGGTTGATAACATCTTCAATTTCCGCGATGCCAAGCTGCACAGCACCCGACGCAGGCTGTATGCTAGGGGCTTCACTTTGAATAGTTTGCGGCAATTGTGGGAGCCGACGATTCGCACCATTGTTGCGCTGACTGTGGAGAAAATTCGCCAGGACGCGCAGCAGGGCGAAGCGGAAATCCTAGGTTGGTGGACTTTGATGGCCAACGAGACTGTGTGCAGATTGACCTTCAATGGCGGACATGATACGGTGCGCAATGGAACCAAGGATCCCTTCGTCCTAATGCTGGAACGTCGCATGGGCGACCTAGCGCATCTGCTACAGCATTTCGCCCCACCGCTGTACTATCTAGGTCGCCTGCTTGGACGCGGGGTGCCCCGGCTACACGACATCTTCTTCTCGCAGGAGACGATGTTTGAAGCAGGAAAGGGTGTCGTGGCAATTGCCCGCGGTGCACGCGATGCCGACGGAGACCGGAATCTGTTCGTCAAAGCCCTGGCCGCAGGTGATTTGGAGAGCAAGATCGGCGGCCTCAATGACACGGAAATCATCACCGATGCCGGGGCGTTGCTGCTGGCTGGATCGGACCCCACTGCATTATCTCTGACATTTCTCATCTGGTGTGTGCTGAATCGCCCCCAACTGCAGGTTGATCTTGAGTCTGAAGTTGCGGGACTGCAGGGGGATATCACCGATGCTGCCTGTGCAGACCTGCCAATCCTCAATGCCGTGATACATGAAAGTCTCCGTTTGTATGGACCGGCCCCTGGGCCGATGCCTCGCAGTCCGCCCTCAGACGGTGCCACCCTGTGTGGGTATTACATCCCTCCTTCGGCCGTGGTCGTTACGCAGAACTGGAGCCTCCACGGGAATCCAAAGGTGTGGAAAGACCCTCATACGTAAGTGTTTTTGTTACCTTTTTCCAACTTCCGATCTCTGACTGACGTCGCCGCAGGTTTGACCACACGCGGTGGCTGCCGGGAACGTCGCTATCAGAAGAGGCGAAGATGTCATTCAATCCCTTCGGCCAGGGGGCACGTCAATGTCTAGGCATTCATCTTGGCTGGATGCAGCTGCGTCTCGCTACGGCCTCATTTTTCCGTCGCTGCCCAGGAGCCAAATTGGCACCTTCCACTACTCCGGAGAGCATGGTCATGATCGATAGTTTCATTGCCGGTATGCCCAAGGCGCGGCGCTGTGCGATTCAGTTGTAGTGTTTATGTTGGATGGCGGATGGGTTGAGGGAGCATGGGAACATTTCGATTTTCAAAGCGCTACGTTGAATAAAGCTCTGCTAGATAGTACACGGACAAACTCTATTATGTGTGGGATGTTCACACTGGAACCAAAATGGTATTACTAGCAGTTGGTTCGATGGTGCGGCTGCCACTAGGGAATTGTAACCTAGTACAACTTATGACATCTGTATTTGCCTTGACTAGGATATGACTTTCAAACCTTCACAAACCAAAATAGGACCCGTTTACACTGTGTAGGCTGGATATCCTCCAAGTCTATTATCTGGTGCTAGACTGATTCTTATACAGATAGCTTTAAGTTGACATATTGTGAACATATCGACAATGCGAGTTTGAGAACGGTATGCAACACATTCTACTTCGAGTCAACAATATTGATCTATCTAGGTAGTGCTACGCCATACGAGCGATTGAAACAGTTCAGAATACTTTCGAAAGCACAACCGTGACCTTTGGCTAATGCTCGGTAAAAGCTCCAGATGCGACCTGATCCACCGCCATTTACGGTTCCACCATCATCTCAGCTGCAATTTTCTCAGCCAGAGCATACACAGTGCCCATGGGCTGTCCATCAATAGCAAACGGAAATATGGAAGCGTCAACTACACGTAGACCCTTGACGCCAAAGACTCTGGCTTTGGAATCCACGACAGCCTTAGGATCATCTGCTTTACCCATGGCGCATGTGCCTACCCCGGCATAATAAGCATCGGATGTCTCTGCGATATAGTTCAGAATTTCTTCGTCCGTCTGATACTGCGGCCCGGGTAGAATCTCAGGTCCAGCAACGACCTCACGCATCACGTCCGATGCAACAATCTCGCGACAGCGGCGGAAGGCAGCGACAGCCATCTCCTGGTCTCTTGGATCGGCCAACCACTGTGGGTCCACGATGGGTGGCTTGGCGGTATCATTGCTGTTGATCGTGACCGTACCGCGACTGAAGGGAGTCATCAGAGCGGCAGACATGCTAAAATAATTCTTGCCGTCGTATTGTGGAACAAAGGTGTCGTCAAGGGCAATATATGAAAAGGTCGGCCAGTCTGGGGGAAATGCGGCGTCGATATCGGCGGCGGTGGATTCTTTCAGCATGCCTGGCTGGTGTTTTTCAAAAGCAAAATAATCTTGGCCTGGGTTGGTCAACAGACCCTTACGCTGCTCGTTATATTCACGAATGGCTCGTGGCAGTGTCTCTTTGTTACCCATCAACTGACTGTGGCTTTCGACCTTGACTGGAACTGTGGGCCCCAGGATAATGGTGTCCTGCATGTTCTGGCCCACTCCGCTGAGATCGGATCTCACTGGAATGCCAAGCTGCTTCAAATGTGCTTTGGGCCCAATTCCTGACACCATCAGCAGCTGGGGTGAACGCATGACACCAGCGCTCATAATGACCTCCTTTTTGGCCTTGATCTGCCACTCAAAGCCCTCGGTGCTCACCCTTATTCCTGTTGCTCGATTCTGATTGTCGAAAACAACCTCCTTCACAAGGGTACGCGTGAAGATGTTGAGATTATTACTCTCCATCAGTGCCTCGCGCAGATACGAAGACGAAGCGGTCTCCCGGCGACGGGTGTAAGGGTTTATGGTGTGTGTGATATATGAACGGCCCAGCAGGTTGCCGTTGGAGAAGCCTTGAGCTTCAGGGAAGCCCATTTTGGCCAGAGCCTTGTCCACCCAGGACGAGATGGCATTGACCTGGAAGGGATAGCCTACGTGTACGGGGCCTCCCGCAGCCGTAAAGGCCGTGTTGTCGTTGAGAGCAGTAGCATTTGCAGGACGAGGGTTAGTTTCTGGACCAGAGAAGTGAACGCTCTTCCGGAAATACGGCAGCCATTTATCCCATGTATAACTATCGTCCCCAACGTGATGTGCCCACATATCGTATGCGCCTTTCGAGCCTCTGAGCCTTCCAGTCAATACTCTACTCTCACTGATGTCAATCAGGCGCGACGACCGTGACTTACCTGTGGTACAACATGGCTCCTCGTGCAGTGCTTCCGCCCAAGGTCTTTCCCTGCATATAAAACATCTCGCGCTGTGCCAGCCCTGGTTGTGGCGTGGTGTATTGATACCAGTCAAACAGAGGATTCTTGACCTTACCATTGTCGAAAAAGTAGTTGAACAGATACATTGGCACCTCTGTGGCATTGCCAGCATCGGTTTCATAAAATCCTCCCGCCTCAACCACGGCAACTGAGGCAGAGCCATCCTGTGACAGGCGACGGGCCATGGCCAAGCCCGCCGTTCCACCGCCGACAATCACGTAGTCAAACGACTGTCCCGGCCATCCGTACATGCCAAAGTGTGAGCTGAGCAGTCCCTGTGCCTGAATGCGCCCGTCCATTTGGCTGGCAAAATTATCTGATGTGAACATTGCTCCTAGCGACGGAAGCGAGGAAGCTGCCGACGACAAGATGGTCGGATTGACAGCCGCCATGATGCCCACCACGGGGACTACTGCCATGGCTGCGACCTGGAACCAATTTCGTCCCATTGTAAAGGCTGTTCAAAATACTATGTGAAGAATCCTCGCAGGTACTAATGGATTGGAGCGACAAGACCTCTGCCCTGCCATTTAAATAGAGGTCATCCATGCAGCCTTGCATCATTAGATAGAACGATGTGCCTCGCTGTCCGAGAGTCGCTCTATCGATCCCTGATCGGGCTTTAAGTGTTCCCCCTATGACTGTCTGCCATGAGTAGTGGAAAGACGGTTCGATGTATTCCGTGCTTAGCTGAAGGGAGTGTCGTACGTCTGAGTGCAGCCTTGCTACACAATTAGACTCGACGCCCAAGCATGCAATAATAATTAGGCCAAAATTGAATGATCATACAGGGTCTATCGCGCTCGACTGGAATTAATCAGGTGATCTAAACAGTTTCTCGCTTAGATAGCGTATGGATATGTCCAGCTCAATTAACTACCCACTTCGCAATATGTTCTAAAGGAATCTACTAGAGATACAACACAACTTATCTGATTACCTAGCTCAAACATTGCCCGGATAGACAACGTCATCTTCGCTTCTAAGCACCAGTCGTAGTGCCGACGGAATGTGTATCTCTATCAAATCATCTGATGTCTGGCCATGAATCGAGAGATGTCAGTAGCATCGGCATCCTTCCACGGATGGTCCGTCTCGATTGAGCGAATCAATTCTTCGTGTGCAGGGCTGCGGGGCACCACCTTAAGTTCAAACGGGCCCGGTTGACTGATGACTCCCGGCAACCAGTCGGGCTCCGGAGCTCTTAGATCCTTGGGCGAGATCAAGAAGCAGCTGATCGCGTGGCACGCAACTAAAAACAGCTTTTCGTCTGTTACAAACCGACCGGGGCATATGCGACGCCCAAAGCCAAACACATATTTCATGGGATCTGTTTCCGGTGGTGAGCCTTTCCCATGGAGGAATCTCTCTGGCTTAAACACCATGGGGTCGTGGTAGACACCCGGATCATGGGTAAAGGCCCTAAACAGAATTATGTTAGCTTAATAGCTAAAACGAGAAACAATGAACGGAGGTTGAACAACCAGATATTCGGCAGTAGGAGAGCACCTTTGGGCAACAGATACCCATCCCAGATCTGATCCTCCTGCGTGATATGGGGAGCACCCAAAGGGGAAGCAGGATGCCATCGAAATACCTCCTTGACAAGGGCATTAATGAAGGGTAAGTGCGAGCGGTGCTCGAAGGTCGCCAGAGTCGTTGGTCCCACGACTCGGTCGAGCTCCTCGCGCGCCTTGCGTTGCACCTCGGGGTACAAGGCCATGGCCACGAAGAAGCTAGAAACCGCCGACACAGTCTGTATAATGGATTAACGCGCTTCCTATCCAAAGGGATAGGGCAGAACCGAGTTTACCGTGTCCGATCCTCCCATGACGAATTCGGCATTTGTCCATACCAAAACCTGCTCTTCATGCGATCCAGATTCATAGTGCCCCTTCTGCAACAAGCGTAAGATAACGGACGGACGACAGCAGCCACGAGCGACCTGATCCTTTACCCATAGATAGGGGACCATAGTCATCTTTTCGATGGTCCGCTTGTATTCTGCTGCCTTAATCTGGAACGAGGCTCCGGGGAACCAGGATGGTACATATCGCACTGTCTCAGGATCAGCATTAGCTGCGTGTTGTCATGCAGGTCTTCTCACGTATGGGGAAGAAATTGACACTCCACTCTCCTGGCGAGAAGATGTGGGAAAATTGCCGAACTGAGCGTTGGGTCAGATCATACAACTCATCTTTCCCATGCGGCGCAATCGTGTACCCATAGGCCACATCCATCATGAACGCATTTGCCTCCCTATAGTTACATTTCCCTGATTCAGTATGTCGCATGCTATCAGTGAAGGTCGGACATTTCTTACTTCCGGATATGGAACCGAAGGTCGTCCGGGTTGTCTAAAGTCCTCAACAAGAACCGTCTAATGCCGATTTCCATCTTGGGATGAAACATAGAAATGGCTCGCCTTGTCCCGATTTCTTGTTTCATATTGGCTCGAATCGTCTTCCATGCCTGCTTATTGCGCTCCGTAGCCAAGCTCATGCCCCACCCGGCCCTAGTATGATATCAGCGCTAGTTTCCTGGAGCACGCTGCAAAGGATCTTCGCTTACAGATGCGCAAAGGGGGCATCTGGGATCGTCTGACTCAGGGCCGACTTCTTATGCATGATCTCTACACCCAAGTGAGCGTTGTTGATCATGATAATGGTCTGCCCCATGACTTCCAGAGAGCTTATGGGCCCTGTTCACTCGCACATATCCGAAGCATTAGCACCGTATATAAGTCAGGTCGGTGGATATTCAGAGGGTCTCAGTACCATATCGCTCTTGATGCTTAGCCCAAAAGAACCATTCGGGGGCTCCCTTTGGCGGAAAGTCCGTCAGGTTACCAATAACAGGCTTCCTCCACGGCCCTGGCGGGAGGGGGGGATGCGTATGTTTGCGCGCCAGCAGCTTCCCCAAAATCCACACAGCCAGCAAGGCCCCCGAATACATAACTACGCTATGAATCATGGTGGGCTGGAGGGCAGGTGTTGATAGTACTAGATACTGGGTGAATCGTGGAATGGCTTGTCATTTTCGCGTCTGCCGTATCTGCTGCAGAGACTGAAAATGAGCATTCGGCATCCGAAAATATCCCCTTCTCGGGGGTCACGTATGCAGGTTTGACCGACGAAAACCAACTTCTCTGAACACTCTAACTCGAGATCGAGAGGCAGAAAAGAGCTGCACATCTGACCGACAATGTTATGTTCGTCGGAGAAATGCAGTACGTTGGGGCTTTCAGGTTCGGAATTCTTCGACTACAGAAATCCGTAATATCTATTTGTCGCGAGTAGGGACCAGCTAAGAACACTATCGTGACACACATTCCCTCGTGTTTATTTTTCACTTTTCCCAAGGGCCTTCGGATGGTTAATAGTCTCAGTACATCGCTGGCCGAAGTTCCGCGACTCCCCAGCTCTCTGTTGATCCTTTAGTGGGTTTTGTGAACTTGTAAAAGCAAAAAAGCTGCGAGTGTCGAACCAGGATAAGTAGGCACACCGGACACGAACCTCTATTCTCGTATATTCCTTGCCCAGACCATTCGATTGAACCCATTAGACGTAGCCTCATCAGCATGGCACAGCCGAACAAAGCCGCTCTCGTGGGTCTTGCAAACACACTTTCAGAACAGGTAAAGCGTTATCTGGGCACTGCAGATGGAGCGAAGCTCTCGGAAGTCGATACACACTGCATGGACGGTGTGAGAAGTCCCTCCTCCACGGAACACGCGCAGGCTTGGGAGATCGTGCGCACCTGCGACCGCATCAGCTCCTTGATTCATGGCCCTGTTCCTTGGCTCCTAAGCAACGCGTTGTCCCATCTCGATAGCGCCTGTTTAGCTGCTGCCACCCAGCTCAACCTACAGGATATCATTGTGGATGGACCGAGTCCCACATCACTCAAAACGATCGTCGCCGCAACCGGAGTCTCCGAGGACTTACTACGTATGAGCGTCCACGTCTATATGTTATCCCATGAAAGGCAGTGAGTTAATAGATGTGCAGGACGGATTCTTCGAGGCTGTGCCCAGCGCCTCATCTTCGAGGAGGTTGCGGCTGACCAATACGCGCACACTGATGCCTCAAAGATGTTGTGTGTGACGGGCATTCATGCCTTAGTAGGCTTCTCGTGAGTACCTTCCTCCAATAATGAACTGCAAGATGTCCTCACCAGCGAGACCGAGTTAGTTGTGATGAAGTGATGCACTCGGGCGCCTGCTTTTCGGACTTTTTACAGCAGACTAAAGGCAACCCTCCGAGCTGGAATGTGCCTTCACCTTTCTCTTTAGCATTCGATCGTAGGTGATCAAATATCTCTATCTAGGAGCCGAGCTGAAAAGTGAGAAACAGCTGCCAAAGGGTTATTTGACTATTACAGCATGGTGGATGAGTCTCGTGGCCGCCGCTTTGACCTAGGTATGGGTGGTACCGAAGCCACGAAGCCGCTCGTAGAGGAGATGTTTGATTTCAGCAGTCTACCTGAAGGTAGCACCGTGGTCGATATTGGCGGCGGTCGGGGTCATCTCAGCCGGCGAGTTTCACAAAAGTATCCTCACTTGAGGTTTATCGTACAGGACCTGCCTGCCGTCATTCACGGAGTCGACGACACCGATAAAGTCACCATGATGGAGCATGACATTCGACACCCGAACCCAGTGCGTGGCGCCGACGTCTACTTTCTTCGATCTATTCTCCATGACTATCCCGATGCGTGAGTGAACAGGCCTCTGAAATCATCTAAATAGCTCTGATAGCTCTGATAGCTAATTCGTACTACAGTGCATGCGTGGAAATTCTCTCCAACATCGTCAGTGCTATGGACCCAACCAAGTCGCGCATCCTGCTGGACGAAATGGTTGTGCCCGATATTCTGGCGCAGGATTCGCAGCGATTCATGAATCAGATTGACATGACCGTTGTTCTGACATTGAACGGTAAGGAGAGGTCTACCAAGGAGTGGGATTCGCTCATTACGGCGGTAGATGGTGGGCTGGAGATTGAGAAAACTTGGTGGCGCAAAGGCGAGGAAGGGTCGCACTGGGGCGTCCAACAATTGCGTTTGCGCGGCAACTCGGCCAAGTAGGGGAATATAATGGAGATATCTTTTCGAGTCTGTCGGGAGAGCGGTTGAGCTAAGATTCGTGAACACCCTTTCACTAACTTGTAGGGGTAAACTTCAAGAGAATTTGACAGCCCTATCTATAGAAGGCATTCACAATGTCCATCCTTTTCTACCTGGCTATACTACTCGGGATATCACGATATAGAGCCCTTCCTACCAATCTTCAACCTTTACATCTACCCTGTATAATAAACATACTATTCCATTTTTATCCTGTGAATCGACCACCTAGATATGTGGAGCCCTGACAGAGGCACTTACGGTCTTATAGCCATGTACCCAGCCAAAGGCTAAATTAAACCTCATACATAAACAAGGGCTGGTCTATGTGGGCCGTTCAAGGAACACCTGAACAGATATCTTATCAACTTCATTTAAAATGAGAGACTGTTGCTAGCTAGATGTGCTGCGGTCCGTTAAAGCAAGCAGAGCCTTACCGACGAGTACGTTTCTCACATCTATATATATATATCACACAAATATATGTCTCGCCGTCTAGGCTTCGGTTTGATGGACTTTGGCACGTAGCTACAGTTCAATTCACGAATGATATCATCAAGCGCAGCATATATTTGTATTACTATATATATTGAAATGGTACAGTACAGACCATGCAATTCTACGGCTTTAGTGGTTCAAGCGCCACCAAAGTTATAGCTATTGCGTTTGCATATCTACGAGTCAAGCTACAGCATTTTAATCGGAAGCGTAATGCCTCACAAATTTCGCCTACCCTAGATGTGGGCAGGCGTTCTTCATACATATCCAGAAGCCGAAATTGATACATCTCAGGATTCCTGGCACCTGGCAGAATACCAAAACTTTTTCCATCTACGGAGCATATGTATTGTATGCATATTGAAATTCGTTCTTTGTTTTGTTTTATTCATTATACAATGCTCACAGGCTGCAACCGCAATCTCTTTACTAGTAAAACCTACAGAATTTCATGATAGACCAAACTATAGACCCGAAGATTATTATTCATAGCCTAGCAAAAGATTGAAGGATATTCCACAGCTCCAGGCTACTGTGACAGTCACCAGTCACCAATTCGTATTCTCGCCCCGTCGCGGCATCATCACGGTGGATTCTGCCACCTTCGCTGAGCGACACATACATCTCCCGAGGGTATCTAGCTCTGCATGGTCTCCCATGAATTCGGTATACAGGCGGGGAGTTGGACAAAAAACACGACAAAATGTTAAATGCCAACAAATTCCCCCGACTCAAGGACCAGTGCTCAAGGCCTTGACCCATCGTACATTCTTAATTTGACTATACAATCTACATCGCCTGTCGTAAGTACTAGGACTACAAGATGACGGGCCTTGACATGGAATCCATCTTCGCGAAAATTAAAGAGGAGTATGCCAGAACAGACGATGTGGGCAAACGGCAGATTCAGGGCCATATCCGGGAGCTTCAGGTCGGCTTTTACTCAGACTGGGATGTGGTCATGCGATTGAGCAGTGGGGTAAGTCTCGTCATTTTTGAAGCCCTCGCTATGGATGAGAATGGGAAAACTGATCATCCTGCAGCCCCTACAAGTCGCTCTCGCCAAGGTCGCTATTGATCTCGGAATCTTCCGCAGCCTCAAGGAGAGCGACACGCCGATAACGCTGGCGGAGTTTGTAAAGAAGACAGGAGCTTCTCCTAGACTGCTTGGTTGAGTCCCTATCTACCTCGTAACTGAGTTACATTCTAACCTAGAATAGGTCGCATCCTACGGACCCAGGCCGCTTTTGGTCTGATCAAGGAGACAGGTCCCCAAGAGTATACCTCGAGTGCATTTACAGATGTGTTCGCAAACCCGGATGCCGCAGGTGCGGTGGTACAACTGTATGGTTTTATCCCAATTGGCAGTTGACATATTGTATGCTAATGCTAAGGCCCCCGCTAGATTCGACATCTCGGGGCCTTGCACCCAAATATTGCCCGACTTCCTGGCCGAGAGAGATTACCAAGATATCACCTCTAACAAAGACTGCGTCTTCCAAAAGGCCTTCGGCAGTGACCTAACCCTGTTCGAATGGATGCCACAGCACCCGAAGCACATGGAATCACTGGGTCATTTAATGGCTCTGCAGCGTCCCGCTTCCTGGGTCGACCACTTCCCTGTTCTCGAGGAGCTGGGCGATTTCCCGGACCCCGACAAGGTATTAATGGTTGATATCGGTGGAGGCTTTGGCCAACAATCCAAGGCCCTGCGCGCCAAATTTCCGAACCTTCCTGGTCGCGTTATCGTGCAGGATATTCCTCAAACTCTGGCCAACGCGCAGCCAGTGGCAGGGGTCGAGTTCATGGAGCACAACTTCTTCGAGCCACAGCCTATTCAGAATGCCAAGTTCTACTATTTGCGTCACGTCTTCCATGATTGGCCAGATGAACAATGCGTCCTCATCTTGAAGCAGATTATCCAAGCGATGGGGCCGGAGTCACAGATTTTGATTGATGAGATGGTCATCCCTGGTACCGGGGTGCCTTGGCAAGCGGCATTTACAGATCTGCTCATGATGAACTCGCTCGGCGGAGTGGAACGCACACGCGCTGAATGGGACGATCTGATGGAGCAGGCGGGCCTGGAAATCATCCAGTCCAAGGTTTACGATACTAAAGAGCAGGCCATCTTGGTTGCTGTACCTAAAAGGACCTGAGGGTTTCCCCTGACCCGCCCAATGGGTAAATACATTTCATTGGGCTTTCATACTTTTCATAACGTAACGCTAGTATTGTAAACATCGGACAGGCAGGCGTGGTACGCTCGATATAAAGCGGCCCTGCCTCCTCGGCGTGCATCTCCATTCCTTGCTCTGTCGTGTAGCAATATGGTCACATACGCCCTTCTCGGGGCCACTGGGGCCACTGGCTCCAGCATTCTACGTCATCTTCTTCAAAAATCACCCGACTCTCTTCGCATTCAAATCCTCGTGCGGTCAAAAGTCAAGTTGCTACAAGCGTTCCCAGATCTCGAGATGACAAATAACCCACAAGTCCACATTATACAAGGAACGTCTACAGACCCTCATGCTTTGAGTGAATGCCTCAGGAATGTTAGTATTGCGTTCATGTGTGTGGCGCAGAATGGGAGCACAATCGGCACCACATTGTGCCAGGATAGTGCCCGCACCATCATATCCGCGCTCCAGCGACAACAGCAGGCTGAGGGAGCAAATTACGAGCCATGTACGATCGTTCAACTTCGCTCAGCCTCTTTGAACCCTGCACTGGCAGCCCAGGTACCGGCCTTGGTACATCGGATAGTCAGCTTCTGCCTCGTTGCCAACTATGCGGATATCAAGCAAGCGTGCCAATATTATAGTGAAGCACAGCAGCAAGGGGCATTGGAATACATTCTCGTGGACCCTCCTACGCTTCATGATGCGAATGGAACACAAACAACGGGCTATAGGCTAATCTCTACGGAGTCTCAAGCCACCGCCCTCAGCTACGCTGACTTAGGGGCTGCCATGTGTGAGATTGCCCATCGCCATAACGAGTTCCGCGGGCGTGCGGTGGGTGTAACTGCCACTGGTCGTGTCCGTCACACCTGGGGAGTCCTACTGCGTCATCTATTTGAAGGTGGATCATCTCATTTGATGGAGAAAATTGAGAAGGAAACAGTAGTTATCGGGGTGGTGTGTGCGTGTCTGGTGGTATGGGCGTGTCTGATGTAAATATCATTTTTGCTGCCATGAAAGCTTCATGCTACGTGTAGTTGCAGAAAACCGTTGTCGTATTGAAAGCCAGCTACTTCGCTTGCCGAAAGAATGCCAACTCTTTATAAAGCCCACTGTACTTGCATACGTTTCAGTGCGCAAATCTGAACGATAAACAGAGAAGCTAGACTTTCTATGCCATGATTACTGCACTTCAAGCTACCGCCGTGATCATGGGCTCATTCATGTCCGGTACGTCTCTCGCCCATATTTTGATTATGTCTAAAGTTTGACCCATCCAGGAGCCATGATGAGCGTCTATGGGCTCGCAATGCCTGCCTTCTTGCAGACCGTTACTCAGTCGAGTCAACTTATCCGCTTCCAAAGGCAACTCTATCTAATCGGCACTACCAAAGGCCGAGCGTTAGGCCTTGCTACCACCCTTCTCTACAGTTCAGTCTCCGTTCACCAATACCTGACTGGTGCACACTGGCGCGTATCTGCCGCTGCCGGCCTTATTACCATCAGCTTGGTTCCATTTACCGAGATAGTAATGGCTCCAACTAACAATGCGCTGGCTCGCCTAGAGTCTGAAACCAACAAGGGGATGGTAATCCCCCGGGAGGAGGCTGAGCGGCTGGTGCGAAAATGGGACCGATTCAATGTAGTGCGAGCACTCTTTCCGTTGGCAGGTGGGGTGTTAGGCTCGCTGGGAGCGCTACAGCTAGTCAACTTATAATGTACTATGTGAGGATGATCTAGTGGGGTTTATTCATGCTGTGACTAGACAACGACTTGTTGTTGTCCTTGTCATAGAATATAACGCTTCATATTTATCTGGGACCTTTCTTGGGGGCCGGTATGATTACCATATAACATAATCGGATAAATGGAACCTGTTGTATCCAATGTACCATGTCCGAGTGCCTGCCGTTCGCTGTCCGAGGAGTGACTTCAATACTGTACTTTAACCCTTCATGCCTCGAGGTAGGAATCAGCTGGGCTCCAACCACAACAGCCATGTATTTTCTACCGCTACCAGCTCTAGCTCCTATCATACTCCTGGGATACGTGCTCTTCCATCTGGGCTACAACCTGTTCTTCCACCCACTTCGCGGATATCCTGGTCCACTGCTATGGCGAGCCAGCTCTCTGCCCTGGAAGATCGCATTACTCCGCGGTACGATGCACCATGACCTAATGCGTTACCATCAGAGGTACGGGGATACTGTCCGGATTAAACCCGATGAGATTAGCTACGCAAATGCTCAAGCCTGGCGCGACATCCACGCTCATGTGCCAGGGCGACCGGAGTTCCTCAAGGACCCCGTACGCCTCCCATTAGCGCCCAACGGAGTCATGAGTATCCTAGTCTCGGACACGCGTAACCATGCACGGTTCCGTAGTCTATTCGGCCATGCATTCAGCGACAAGGGCCTTCGCACCCAGGAGTCCACCATAGTGCAATACGCCGACTTGCTGGTTGAGGTCCTGCGTGAGGTGGCCGACACGGGCCGTTCTGTGGAGATGGTGTACTACTTCAATATGGCCATCTTTGACTCCATTGGAGCTCTGTCTTTCGGTGAACCCTTCGACAGTCTGAAGAGCCGGCAGCTGCACCCATGGGTAGACGCGATCCACAAGAATCTCAAGAGTGTGGCCATTTCACACGTTCTTCGCAGTATGGGCATCGAGTTCCTCACACCCTACGTGCTGCCGAAGGAGCTCCGCGGTAAACGCCAGGAAAATTACAGCTACGCCGTTGAGAAGCTAAACAAGCGTATGAAGATGGAAGGTGACCAGGGCGACTTCTGGGACAAAGTTCTAGTCAAGAGTGCCGACGATAACCAGCGCGGGGATGGCATGAGCGCTGGAGAGATGCTCAATAACGCTGCCGTCATGGTCGTCGCAGGGTCTGAGACCACAGCCTCGGCACTCAGCGGCTCAATGTATCTGCTGTGTCTGTCGGGCAAGATCGAAAAAGCCGCCGCGGAGATCAGGAAGAGTTTTGCCTCCCCGGAGGAGATTGACCTGATCTCCGTCTCGCATCTGCCCTACCTTACTGCCGTCATCGACGAGACGCTGCGCATGTATCCAGCAGTGCCCGGTCAACCCCCACGCGTGGTCCCCGCTGGTGGAGCAACGGTTTGTGGCCAATTTGTTCCCGAAGAAGTATTCAGCCCTGAATGAAGTCTAACATAGTGAAAAGCTAATGATTCCCCTAGACTAGAGTGGGTGTCAGCCATCTCGGCGCGTACTTCGCCGATTACAACTTTACTCACGCTGATAAGTTCATCCCCGAGCGCCATCTGCAGAAGATGGAGGAACCGTTCAAGTACGACAACTATGGCGCCTACCAGCCCTGGTCTGTTGGGCTGCGTAACTGTATTGGGCGCAATCTGGCCTACGCAGAAGTTCGTCTGACGCTAGCCAAGCTCCTGTGGCATTTTGATTTTACTCTAGACGTTAGCAAGACTGGCAACTTCCTCGATCAGAAGATCTGGTCTATCTGGGCGAAACGAGAGCTTTACATGTCTATTAAGTCGAGGGCGTCTTGCTCTTGACCCAGTACTTCCAGCAGTCCACCATAAAACTGGGGGTCTTTTCGAAGACATACCGGGGGCGGAATTCCGTACGATGAGCGAAATGATGAAATGAACGAAGTAGCATACACAGTGGCTTATTCGCATAGATGCACCAGGTAGAATGTAGTAGGGAGACATCTCTCTGCCCACTTAGTGACGTCGCATGTTGAAGTTGGACAATTTCCTCGATATTCGGTATTCTAGAGAGTAGACAGATATGAATGGTACTTTCAGAAGCTCAGTGACGACTGGGTACCTGCAATCCTCAGTGGCAATACATCGAAATCGGCCATCGCCGGCGATGAATCCCCGATGCTTCTCGCTCTTCGTCCTACTCGCAGCCCGGCTAACAATCTCTAGCATCAATTTATCACCCTGCACCCCCTCATGCAACAGTGCTTGCTTCTGTCTGTGGCTCCATAAACTAAGTGATAATCTCACCAAGATGGGCGTCGACGGGTGGCTTTCAGACAGCCATAAGCTCTTGTGGATATTTCTCATCGTTCGTGATCGTCTCTCATTCAAGGCGATAGGACTGACAAAGGCAGGTACTGACGCCAACCTCTCTGGCTGTCTACCGACTCTGGCTTCATCCTCTAGGATCGTATCCAGGGCCTCGATGGTGGGCAATCTGGCGTGGCCCCTACATCCTCAGTAGCATCCGAGGCAGCCTTGTTCGCGATCTCCAGCGACTACACCAAGAATTCGGCACTGTCATCCGAATCGCGCCCAATGAGCTGTCTTTCATTGCTCCCGAGGCGGCCACTCCTATCTACACGAGCAATCCAGAGTTTCCCAAGGATCCGATGCATCTTCCACCCTTCCACAATGGGACCCCAGGCATCCTGGCCGCCGACCATGCCCACCACCGCCGTTATCGACGGCTGTTGGCCTTTTCATTTTCTGACAAAGGTTTGCGGCAGCAACGCGGTCTTATCGAACGAAGTGTTTACCTGCTAATCACGCGATTACACGAGAACTGTGGCCAGGGACCTCTGGACCTTACGCTGTGGTTCAACTGGGCCACCTTCGACATTATCGGCGACCTCGCTTTTGGCGACTCGTTCGGCTGCCTTGACAACGTCCAGACACATCCATGGATTGCATCCATTCAGGGTAATGTCAAGTTGATTCCCATTCTGAATGGCCTGCGGCGCTACCGACTTGATGGGCTTCTGCGGCTTCTGGGATCCCGCAAGCTGTTGGAACAGCGACGCCGGAACGCACAGTTCACGACCGACCAGGTCGACCGTCGCCTTCAGAACTCCACTACCCCTCGAGGCGATATTTGGGATGCGGTACTGGCCCAGAAGCCCGACGGGGAACCGCCCATGTCGCGGGACGAAATGATCAGTAATGCCAGTGCTATCGTGCTGGCCGGTAGTGAGACGTCAGCCACCCTGTTAAGTGGATGCACTTGGCTGTTACTAAAAAACCCGGAACATCTGCAGCAGCTTACCGCTTGCATCCGATCGCAGTTCACTCACGCATCCGAGATTGACTCCCAAAGTGTCTCGCGTGTCGAGGGACTGCAAGCAGTCCTGGAGGAAGCGCTGCGTCTGTATCCACCGGTCCCCATGCAAAGTAACCGCATCGTACCACGGACGGGGGCCCATATCGCAGGGGGATGGGTACCCGGGGGGGTAAGTCTTGTTGAGTTCCTTTACAAACCCTACCTGTGGTTCCGTCACTAATGCGCAACCTTTTACGTCTACAACAGACATCAGTCGGTCTACAACAGTTTGTCGCCTGTAGGTCATCTAGTAACTTCCACCGTCCGGACGAGTTCCTCCCTGAGCGTTGGCAAGGCCAAGGCGAATTTGCCCATGATCGCCGCGACGTATCGCAACCATTCAGCATCGGACCGCGGAATTGCATTGGGCGACAGCTAGCCTACGCAGAAATGCGGTTGATCCTAGTCAAGCTTCTCTGGCATTTCGACTTACGATTAGACACTACGCGTATGAAGGATACAGACTGGTTGGCAGAGCAGGGCATTTGGATTCTGTGGGACAAGAAACCGTTGTGGGTAACGCTTGAACCTCGCAACAAGTATTAGATCAAACTGTTATTTTTAGAGATGCACTCGTAGAGTCTCATAGTCAATACAAATTGTGCCGGCCTGTGCCGTACCGCAGGATCTCGCTCGGATTGCGAAAATCATCAATCTCGGACAGCGAAGCGGCGTTCATTCCATAGAACCAAACCCCCCAAGCACCCTGGATACACTAAGCTTTGCACTATAATTTCTCTATTACCACATAAATCAAGAGTGGCAACCTGATATTCAATCCAACAGTCCCGAAAGAGCAGTGCCAATCAACGCCACGATCGGCGCATAGCTCCAATGCCCCCATTCCCCGTGTCCCCACGACCAGCAAATCGCACCGTCTGCAAAGGCAACCGCACTAAACGCCAACAACGTCCACCCGAGTGACTTGGGTGTCCCGAATATCGAGGCCACGTAGACGGACAGGCCGATGTAAATGTCCCGGACTCCGTACACGTACATCAGGCTGTTCACGAGCTGTTGGTCCGCGGTTGCTGTTGGTGGCGTCCATTCGAAGAAGGTAAGAGCGTGGTTGGGGCGTATCAGAGCATTGATGCCGAAACCAAGGATGATGGTGCCGAAGGCGTTGCCTGCCAGACGCAGGGCTGCGTTCTCAGAGAGCGGCATTTTGGGAGGTGAGAGAGTCGGCTCGATCGCAATCTACTCTAATTGAGGGACGGGCAAGGGTAATGTGGCGGTTAACCAAACAAAAGGGTCAGGATAGCTTTAGTTGAGAACTGGAGATAGACCGCAATGATATGATAACACAGCAACGTTCCTCCCCAACAGCGACGTAATCCTTTCGCTCTCCGAACAAGAGATCCTTGTCTTTGTTAACGTAATCCACAAGCCACAAGCCAGATCTCTTGTGGCTTGCGTTGCATGTCCCGTCTTGGCTACGGAGCGAAGTACTGTATAGAAGTACCATGAGCTTTTACATGGGCTTTTGTTAGGGTACCACATTCCTAGACTATGTAAATCATACAAAGCATCTAAATGACTAAGTCACATAGCAGATCCTGGTCAGCCTGCAGCTCTGAAATTGAGACACGCATGCTACAGGATGAGTAAATACCAGCTATAGCCAGTGTCAACATCGTTCCTTGACACGACATGGAAACCCGTCGGCAGGGTGAGCGCCCCCAGCGCCTCTCTCCGCCTGGTAGGCACGATGCCCATTCACTTCTTTGGTTGTAATGGCCGGGTGGATGCTGTCCCACTCATCGTATGCGGGCGTAATATCGAACTGACGGATAGTCATGGCCAGGGCAATCCGCAGCTCCAGCATTGCCAATGTCTGGCCAATACAGCTCCGTGGCCCAAATTCAAACGCTCTCCAGGCACCTTTAACTGGATGCAAGGGGTCTTCGGGCCCCACCAGCCATCGCTCCGGAATGAACCTCTCCACTTGGTTCCAGTGGTCAGTGTTATGGTGGAGAGCCACCGTGAGTGTCCAGACGTTGCACCCCACCGTGGGATACCGTTGCCCATCTTCCCCAATGATTTCGGCGTCGGGTCGGCCCTCCCGCATTGAGGCGGATGGAGGGAAGAGCCGCAACGTTTCTTTAATCACGGCAGTTGTGTAGGTGAGCTTGTTCAGTAACTGAACATCTTCCTTGATGTGGCCCTGAGCTTCTGCTGGATCCGCGCCCAGCACGTCTTCATGTTCAGCACGAATTTGCGCCAGGACCTCGGGGTGCTGAGCGAGTAGGTAGTAGACGTATATCAGAGTGCTACTTGTAGTATTGCGGCCGGCGAAGAGAAAGACACGCAGCTGAGGAGCCACCAGTCGCTTAAATTCCGCAAGGGACCGACTGGTGTTGCTGCTGGCTTGTTCCTGGAGATATTCTCGTAGAGCCAGCGAAATCACAGATTTGGATGGATGATCTGGTGGAGTACGGTAGGCATGATCCACTTCACGATCAATGATTCGATCCATAACTTTGTTATTATACCATAGTACCAAGGGCCTAATAGTCAAATAACGCTTGAGGGGGTTAAACGTAGTACCAAAAGAGGTCCAATCGATCTGTCGCTGCAGGGCTGTGGCCAGTGGGTGATCCTTGATTTGGTGGTGCAGTTGCGTGTCCCTGCTCGTCTCGTTAATTAGAGCCCTGCGATTATGCAATACGTTCGATTAAAGTCCACATACAGCACTACCGAGCAAATAGAGTCCACCGTTAATCGGGTGGTGAGCGACTCGAGAGGAAAGACCTCGGCTTGTTGGGCTTTTCTGCGCAATTGAGCGCAGAAGGTCGCCACTTCATCGGCGATATTTGGTGCCAGGCCAATAATGTAGGCTGGATTAAATCCTGGGTTGAACAGTGCCCGCCATTTCTTCCAAGCCTCGCCATGCATGCTCATCATACTAGGCCCCCCTGTCACCGTCTCCAGGGGCCGTCGCAGAATGGCCGGCTTGGTCAGATTCAGCTGTTGGATTTGGCTGGCCGCCGAAGGAGTTGAAACAATCATCCAAGTCCCACTAAAGGGCCACATATTAATATAGAAGATGCCGGACGGGAATTGCTGGGAGATCTTCAGCATGATGCTATGAAGCGTCGCGTCTGATGGCATCCCTCGGATAGTGCTTTTGAGAGCCCCGAAGTGTCCGGCTAGAAGCTTGAACTCTGGCATAGGCTATACATCGTCAGCTCCACGGTCTTTCCTGATCTTTCCGTGATCCAGGTTGGGGGAGAGTACCAGGTTCGCTTTTTGCAGCTTCCATACTTCCTGGCGAGCCTGGTAAAACGCCGTCAGGAAACGGGTGAAAGAAACCACACCCAGGGCTATGAGGAGCGAAAGATACATGATACGATTTCTTCATCAGGTGGACAGTTAGTGGAGTCTATGAAGATGGTTTCACTAGAATAATAATATCTATAGAGGTCAGGTCCCTACTTCTTCAAATTCGGGGACCGAGGGCTTTTTGTCCCCCGACTACATGCCTGCCGACATAACTATATCCCACCTTTACCCTATCCAGCCATGAAGAATCAATCTAACACACCTTTCTGATTTCCTTCTTGTTTCCTCGCTGAATTTCTGTCCGATATGCCGAGCGACGGCTTCACCATCGTTGTCTTTGTGACTCGCAAGCCAGAACTTTCCCCCGACGCCTTCCAGGATTACTGGGAGAAACACCATGTGCCATTACTTCGACGCCTTGGCGGACCTCGTTTTCCACGCAGTCATATTCGACACTATTTGAAACGTGACGCTCAAGCCCCCGGCTTCCTCGCTGCTGTGCTGGTGGGGGAGCCATCCGATTTTACCTATGACGCATTTGCTATTATCAACTTTGAGAGCGAAGCCGCATTTCAAGAATTTGTCCCTATTATGTCGACTCCCGAAGTTTTGGAGGACGAGGATAGATTCACAGATCGGGCCAAAATGAGAGCCGTGGTGCTTGGTGGAGTGAGGCAAACGACGCGTTAAACTATGGATTGTGCACTAAAAGGCCGCATTAGATATATAAAAGTACAGTGATTAGCCTAATGGGATAGGCTTTCAGGCACCCATTCAAGGTGTTTCGCCTTCTTACCTTGGAGCAGTAGCGCTAATATTAACGTGTTAGTTCAACTAGCAAATAGTATTTGCTACGTCGTCTAGCTCTTTAGAACATGAGGGAGTACACTTCATATCATTTGGTGCGGTTGCCTTATTCTACGCAACTTTATTATTTATCTGGCAAGGCCTAGACAATTTTCAGGAATGATTATAACCCCAATCATCTCTGTATCTTCGAAGATCTACCGTCCAAATCCACCAATAATCTGGGGGTTGTTCTCCTCCGACCAGCGGCCCCCAAAGGAGTATATACCGGGCATGGTTTATCGAAAAGCGCCGCCATCCACCCCAATGATCTTGCCACTGACCCATTCGGCTGCATCAGATGCCAGGAAGCTAACTACCCGGGCGACATCCACGGGGCGGCCCACCCGGTTCAACGGAGAGAGCCAGGCGGCACACTAGATTAGATTTCGTTTAGTATGAACCCAGAAAGACGCAGTTTATGGATAGAAAGCTGACCTCGTCTACCTGCTCATCGGTGAAAGTCTCACCATTGGGGATATACTCCCGCGAGACAGCCAAAAACATATCAGTTTTAATGGCTCCCGGAGCCACGGCATTCACGGTGATCTTCTTATCTCCGCAGTCAATGGCCATGCAGCGAACAAAGGTGTCAATAGCCCCCTTGGATCCCGAGTATACAGCATGTTTGGGTACCCCCTTGACGCAAGCGGTGTTAGAGCTGGTCAGGATAATTCGACCTCCTTCCCGCAAATGGCGATAGGCCTCCCGCGCCACGAAGAATTGGCCACGGGTGTTCACGCGGAAGACCCGGTCAAACTCCTGATGTTTTCATTAGCACTTGAGGTGCTTAAATGCGTTATCTGTGGCTCATACTTCCGGGGTCACATCTTGAAGGTGGCCGAAGGATACAACTCCAGCGTTCGACGACACGATATCCAGGTAGCCAAAATGGCGGACCGTCTCCGCCATTAACTTCGCTGTCGCTTCAGGATCCCCGACATCGGCCTGAATTGCGATAGCATCGGTACCATTGTTCTTGATCTGTTGAACCACCTTCTCCGCGGCCTCGCAGGAATGGGCATAGTTAACCACGACTTTGGCTCCGCGTTCACCAAGGGCGACGGCGATGGCAGCACCGATGCCACGGCCGGCGCCTGTGACCAAGGCTACTTTGCCATCTAAACGGTGGTTGTCTGACATGCTGAAGCGATCGTGTATGGTAGAGACTCCGAAGAGGCGAGATACTGTGTAGTTCTGTGAAAACAGTGACACTTGTTGACCCGCCATGTAGTAGTATATATATATGCGGTTATGCATGGTTCGCTACCAAGCAAATCTTTCCTCGGAGACCGAAAGGTCTGAAGACCAGGAGCTCATCGGGCGGCAAGTCCAAAGCCTCTATGTATCATTTATGGCAGGTCTTTGCACATCCCTTTCTGCCTGCCCAATCCCTGTAATACACCCTAGTGACTATGCGACATGATGGAGCGCTGGAGAATGAATCAAAAGACAAAGGTAGCCGACTCCATGCTCAAAACATAGCAAACTGAGAATAAGAGCAGGATCTGGACCAAGCACACCGAAAACAGAATAGCGAAGTGAAAACTGCTGCTGGCGTCAAGGTATGTACTGGGAGAACGCTCTACCTCCCGGGTCATTAATTTCATCCACACCTTCACCCATGCTTCTAGAACGAAGACGTTTCGTAGGGTTCTGTCTCCATCGAACACCAATCTCTCACTGGGCGTTTAGGGAACCTTTCGTTAATTCTAAACTTGGGGACAGCCTGTATCTATCTCCCGCATGTTTTAAGAAAATACGCTTCACGTGGGTGCTCCATCAGATATATCGTCGCTTGTATCATTTAGAAATGGATGCAACAATCTTTTCGCTTGTTCGTTTGATCAGTCTATTGGTTGTATCTCTGTTTCACAATAGGTGTATTTACGTTGCGTAATAAGTGATTTGACCAACCAAAGATCCTCAGGCGTATGATATGTTGTAACAGGTGACTGATGCTTTGCTGAAAGACTAAGTGACAAGGATAAGGAAAGGAAAACAACAGGATTCATCTCGTGAAAGAGGCATTTTCGCCCAAAACTGTGATCAACTATACTGCACAGTAGGCGAGATCCACACCACTACGCTCATTTTGAGACGGATCCAAAGTACTTCGCGCCTTGCTGGGGTTCGATCGGCTAATAGAGCACATCTAGTCAATTGCTATCACCCTGTGAGGGACACAAGGACCCGACTCACCTGTTGCTTGGGCACTGTTTCTAGTCGAGTGTTGCATGACAACTGCCATATATCCTTGCTCGTCATGCTAGTGCGGTATCTTTGCGTCGGCGTTTCGAATAGGAAATTCATGGGGAATCCAACGTCAAACGGCTCGACATCATCAATTTCATGGATTTCCTCCTCGGTCAGTACCAGACCGAGAGCCTCGATGTTTTCCTTGAGATGCTTCACCTTGCGACCCCCAATAACGGGGAAAACATAGGGGGCCTTGTGCATGACATAGGCCTGAGCGATACTAGTAGCCTTGGTGTTCTTCTGTTGCGCCATCTGATCTAGCTTCTCTCCGAGTCGTCGGTGCTTCTCATCCTGAGGACCCATCTTGCGACCCTCACGAGAAAAGTCCTCGGCGCTACGGAACTGACCGCGGCCTAGCACACCCCATGGCGCGAGGCCCATGCCCTCTGACTCACACATGGGCAGGATATCCCGCTCAAAGTCACGGAAAGCGCACGACCAGTGGCCTTGGTAGACGCTGAACGGGGTAAGTCCGTTGGCTCGAGCAACTGTGGCAATCATTAACTTCAAAACCAACTACATCTTAGAAGGCAAATGCACGTACATGCATTGCATTTGACCACGACCCAGGCTGGGGTATCGCTGACCCCCAGATACAGAACCTTGCCACTTGCCACCAGGTGGTTGAGACTTCGCATCACTTCCTCAACACTCGTCGTAAAGTCCCACATGTGCACGTACAATAGGTCGATATAATCAGTCTGCAGTTTCTCCAAACTAGCGTTGACGGATAGACGCAGACTCTTGGCATGGTTACCCTGAAAGTTCGACTTGATCTTTTGCGGGCCAAACATTGTGTAGCCCATGGTGTACTTGGTGGATAATACGATCTCATCACGATTCTGCCGCTGTAACATCCATTCACCTACCCATCTTTCGCTATCGCCTCCCTGATAGAAGTTGGCTATGTCGATAAAGTTCCCACCGCTCTCGTAGAAGGTGTCTAGCATGTTGAAGCTGGTCGCCTGGTCACACTCACCCATAACCCCTTTCCAGCCATTGCCGAAGCTCATGGTTCCCAGGCATAAGGGCGACACACGAACGCCGGCGCTAGGCGATAGGATCCGATGATACCCTAGCAGGGTGGGAGGCTCTGGGGCGGCAGGGAGAACCATGGTTGCTATTTCTGTAGTGTTTGGCGACTACAGGGGCCAGAAGAAGTTTGTAGGAAATGGTAAATTTGCGATCAGCTAGAACATGTATTCACAGTATATAAGGGATGAATGCAAAGTCTCTAGAATGCCTTACAACCTGATCGCTTTCCGAAAGCCCGGTACTCCAAGCATTTCGATAGTTCACCCATTGGCAGGGTATGCACAGTGGCTGTTACTACCATTCTTCTTGTCGTGATATCAGATCTCTTTCATTTTCATATAGATATAGGTATGTAATCTACTACGACATCCATCGTACTGCCTTAGCTACTCCCTCCACAAAGGTCTTCTGGTGCTCTCCCAGAGACTTAAAAGGAAACATGAACGAGCAATGCGGATATCCCGGATAAGCATCGTACATGATCGGCACCTTAGCAGTGTCCAACGCGCCCTTCATCAACCTGGCATCATCTCGTAGTGTGTCCAACCCTAACTCGGCAATATAAACCTTTTGTAGGGCAAGCAACTTCGGGTGCAGAATACAAGAGGTGTAGATGTCGTCTACCGGCGCCTTGTAACAATCGAAAAATACCTGCATGGCAGCCCGCGAGTTAACCGTCAACTCCGCATTCTCCTCATACGCCGTGTATAGCTCCTTCAAATGGTCTGGTACTGCATCCGGGTGCACGGTGATGGGTGCCAACGCCACCACCCCGCTGACTTTATTCGCCATGTCTTGGTCAATTAGTTGAAGCGCTGTACCAAAAGCCAGATTTCCGCCGGCGGACGTGCCCATCATGATGAGTGGCTGGTTCTCATAGCGCGACAGCGCCCAGAGAGCAGCGCTAACGCCGTCGTTCAGCGCGCCAGGATAGCGAGTTTCAGGAGCCTTGCGGTATTCCACGCTGACCAGGCGCATCTGGCATTGGCGACTGATAACGCGACAGAAACCATCTTCTTCCTTGACTCCTCCCATCACCCAGCCTCCCCCGTGAAAGTAGAGGCCCACTGGTTCCTGGCCCGTCGCGTTGGGGGGAGTGTAGCAACGCAGCCACAGTCCATCCAACTGAACATCCTCGGTCGTCACGCTCTCATCGGGCGGCGGAAACCCGTATCGCGTAGCTAATGTGCCAGCCAACTGTCCCCAGCCGGCCACAACGCTGTCTAAATCCTTTCCTGGGAGACACGGGGTTTGCCCCAAATCCTCAACAAACTACAGTCACCGTCAGTCCCATCGATATGTCCTCTGCTGTCAACGGAAGCGTTACCTGGTGCCACGGAGCGGCAAAAGGGGTTTCCATCGCGGTATGCCAGTGTATCCACCGCGATATTATCATGGTGATTGTGAATCCGTCCTGCGTCGGTATACGTATATAACCAACATCCAAATCGGATAGCGAATTCTCGCTTCCCGAGTTCTATGACACGTCCGTTCCGCCGCAATGTCATTATAGAATCCTCCCCCGAAAAGCACATTTCTTATGGTTTGAATACCATGTTCTCAGCAGATAGTATACAACATGCCTGTCTATCATATCGGTACGTACGCATCGGTCTCGGAGTAGAAAGATCTCCACTAACAATCTGTTATCGTCGCCTCAGCCTTGTTTAAGCTCAAATCCGATGCCGATCCCATTAAAGTAAAGAAATGGAAGCAACAAGCCCATGCGATGGTTGGCCAAGTGCCTGGTGAGTTGCCATTACCCAAGTTCGCCCATGAGTGCGAATTTACTAATAAGGGGATTGCTCAGGACTCTTAGACTTGCAGGCTGGTTCACCGACTGAGTTCACGGCTCCCTTGGCTAAGGGGTTCGACATGGCGGCCGTCGTAGTGCTAGACTATCTAGAGAGTTTAGCCACATTCTTTACGCACCCAAGTCACCATGAGTGAGTTTGGAGTTACAAAGTACATGGCAAGGAGAACTGACGTAGACAGGGTGAATATTCTCTACCAAGAAGTTTGCGATCATAAAAGTACGATTGCGTATGATCTTGAGTTTTAGGAAATAAACTACTCTATCAACTAGACATAGTTTGTCTTGGCGTAACAGCTTCTTCAGGGCAGGACACGAATGGAAGACTATACTCAAGCATCAAAACCCGCTTCCCGTCGGCGCTGCATAATTGGCCGTAGTTGATCGCCTCCCCAACCATCCTCGAGGTCATCCTTAAGGTCAAAAGTTCCCTCGGGCTGGATAGCGAGTGCCCGACCTACCAAGGCTCTATTAGCTTCGAGAGAAATAGATATACCATATTGGGGAATCCAATCTGACGTACCGTGGAACTGGGGATTCGCAGCGCAAGCATTGGCCGCCTCCACGCAGGCGTCGATGCTCGCAAACGTCAACCGCTGCGCCATATCGATTCCTCGAGCAGCCATAGCCTTCTTCATAGGCGCAATCAGCGGTGTGTCGATGAACCAAGGAGCAAGAAGGTTACAGCGCACTCCCAGCTCCCGCGTGCGAGCCCGAGTGCTGCGAAACAAACCCCGGACACCAAACTTGCTGGCGGGATAGGTTGAGGCCTTGGGGCTGTCCATGTACGATCCGATGGAGCCCATGAGTATCAGTGACTTGTCGGGTGACGGATTGCCGGCTTCGATTGTCTGGCAAAGGCGCAGGTAATACAGCCCCAGCCACGACGTATAGTAGACGCCGATCAAGTTCACCTGGATGTTGCGAATATCCGGGGGGGATGGATCCACGTCTAGACGAGGATCACCGGCGGCCAAAACGTGGTCAACCTGGTTTCCACCAGCAAAGGAGACGCCTGCAAAGGCAGCCACAACGTCAAGTGCCTTCGAAGGGGTGAATCGAATTGCTTCTTTGAAGGCTTGTACTTGACTCTCCCACGAGCTCACATCACAGTAGACGTAGTGGACATTTCCACCTGCTAAGCCCTTGAGGATGTTCTGCCCCGTTTCTAGAGGTTGGATGTCAGCAATAGTAACGTACATACCCGCTGCTGCCCATGCTCGCGCCGTGGCCAACCCGATTCCTGAAGCACCACCAGTGATGAGGGCCCCTTTCCCCCGTAGAGTCCCCAGGTCAACGGTCGTATCCAGAACTTCCATTACGTGGTTATCTGGCTGTATATCGAAATAGGTAGCTGTTGCCTTGGATGCTGTATTCTCTCTCTCTCCTTACCCTTATATATATAAACTGGCGTGATATAGTCTCCCGGCTACCGGGTCTCGGAGTGCGAAAGGTATGACTTGTCACCAAGGAGTGGATGAGGCAACGACGCAATAGGTTTCGGTATTGGATTCTACTTCTAGCAAAGCCAGATCAAATATATGTCCGTGAATTATTGGCTGGCTCCTCTATAAACAACTCCCCGATCATTATGTACATGGCAGCATCAAACGTGGTAACAGGCGCGCCAACGAGCTCCAAGTCACCGAACAGGAAAAGAGATTGCTCACACATCGAATTCAACTCAAAGCATCTTGTAATGCAACGCCTTGATCAGCATCCTATCCCGCCTGTGATTAAAGCTGGGCAGAACTGCTTTCCTCCATTTGTATAACTTCAAGGAGACTCTGAACATGCATGGCTCCACTACTACTAGATTGTCATGATGTTACTAAGCGAGTATTTTAGAGTGTGGACAATATAGCTGTGACAGGAAAGGTCACTAGACTTTGAAATCAGTTGTCATCGTTATCCACACGGTGCTGAATCTCGAATGCAATAACGGCGTTGGTGGGAGATCGAACCTCCCGCATCACCACGAGCCCGTCGGAGCGACTGCGCAGCAAATCTCGTATCTCGCCCATGTTGAGGGGCGCCCCATTGGTGAGCTGCAGCAAGGATAGATCGTTCAGACTGACCGCCGCTCGCGCCGCGGCGTCCATCGACCTTGTGGCCGACGACATCGGCAGCGTCAGAATGAGCCGCGCGGCTGAATTATTCCGCAACACCTCCACGTGAGCCCTTAGCGCCTGGGCGACTCGCATGGTGATGTCCATCGCCGGCGACTGTGGGGATGGGGACGGAATGGAGATGAGATACACGGCCGCGTCGAGGACAGGTTGTGTTGCTGTTGATAGACGCGTGCCCCAAGTGATACGTGTGCGTAGATGCAGAGGTACGCTCGCTAGCTTCAAGCCAGACATGCCATGATTATCGTGACATGGCTGATGACCGCCAGACTCTGTCTTAGGTTCTGTCTGCACGAGGAAACGGAGTGATGGAAATTGGGGTGCGAGGGCAACAACCAGTGAGGGTGACTGGGCGCCCACCTACATGACTATGTGGTTAGTCAAAGGTTGGATATCACAATCGGGGGATAGGCTTCGTACATGCACGACTGTTGCCATTCCCAAGTGTTGCCAGTTCATCCGCGTGAGCGTATCCTCTACGGCGGCATCAATGGCACTTGACACGTAGGAGAGGTAGGCACCCAGCTGCCGCTTAATCTTGGGTCGTTGGTGAAGACATGCGGCAAAAGGAGAGTCACTTCCCACGGCCAGATTCCAGGCGGAATCTTCAGCCTGCTCTGAGGTCCCAAATCTGCGCGTTTGGGTCCCCATCGCTGACGCTGACGGAGCCAAAGTCTCCGACATGAAGAGAATGGCGTCCAGCAGGGCTGGTTGGGTCACAAACTGTTTCGACAATACAGTGTGGGCCACATGCCCCGGTGAAGGCTCACAAAGAAAGCCTATTGTAAATAGCGGTCGCACCAGCCGACGTAGCCGACATTCAGGGACTCCTGCAATGTCTGCCACGTCTTCAAATGGTACGGGTTCATCCAAAGGGATACACGCCAACACCTGAAACTCCCCCAGCCACCGAAAGCATGCCAAAAGCTGATTCTGTACACCATGATTAGTACCTTGGTGGGCTTATTTCATCATCGAGGGGGAGGGGAGGGGAGGGGAGTATGCACATAGAGAGCCAACTGTCGGACAAGGTCGGCGGGCTGACCGGCGAGGGCTAATACTTGCGAGGCATTGGCAATCAGCGTTCGCTGGACGGGTCGGAGATGGTCAGGGAGCCCAGCTGGATACCCATTAGAGTGCCCATCTGTCGCTAGGGTTCTGGCGGCGATGGCAATGTTCTCGGCGCAGATCTCTAGGTCAGTCAAGGTCATGGTTGATGATAGCTCGTGAACAAGGCCCAGAGGGGAGGATATTGAGAAAGTGCCACCGGCAAATCGCCGTGCGGTGCAAGGAGAGTTATTGAACTTCCATTGGTTTTAAACGTCTATCCGACCAGTGTAGTCCTTCCTCCGCGTCAGGGAGTGCTGATCGGCAAGCGGGCACTCTCTGCCGGCTCGTACTTTTATCCTTCGCAAGCCATCGGTAGCACGGCAAGCATATCTATGTCCCATTCTTAGAATAGCTTCGCAGCGAGACGGATCCCGGGGTCCTTCAAGCTCATGCAGGTGCTAAAGATGTAGCTTGCAGAAACCAAGTTCGTTTGTGGACTGCCATTCCACTATCACAGGCTACGTTATCTTGAGCACGAGACATGCATGCAGGCGGGCTCCCTAGCTGAACAGTATATGTTGGTTCTTGGTCTGATTCGTCAACCCGATCACAGAGATCTCTGATCACACGGATCAGCCTCGGTATGTAAACAAGGAACGCACCGCTAGACAATCCTTGGGCCAAGTAAGAACCCCTCAGCTGGTGACGTGAGTGTCCATACGTACATTTTGACCTCCGTGCGAGGCAACGAAAAGGGCGGGCTACTCTCGCAGAGAAAGCCCTCACGTTGTGTGTTTTCTTTCCTGCTTTCCATTGAAAAATTATACTGAATCCCTTCCTCCGGGCCTCTACCATGGTTGACCATATCTCCCCCCGGGCATCGCCCGGACCGATCCGTTCCTCCCAAACTCGCCGCGCCCGAAAGCTCCGGGATAGCTGTACGAGTTGTGCCAGTTCTAAAGTGCGATGTACCAAGGAGAAACCGGCCTGTGCTCGGTGTATCGAACGTGGGCTTGCCTGTCAATACATGGTCTCCAAGCGGATGGGCCGCAATCCGCGCGCTCCCAGTCCCCTTGAGCCAACTCAGCGACCATCAGAGAGTCTTCCTTCAGCCGGATCGGAACAGGGACATTCGACTCATAATACGTATTCTACTCCCCATGCTCATACCCAAGCCGACACTCATTCTCATTCTCATTCTCATCCGCAACCGCATCCACAACCTCAGCCTCAATCGGATCAACCACCAAACGCTCTGCCCACCCCCAATGGCAGCAGTAGTGTCTCCGCCATTGTTTCTCATCAGAGTCCCCGGCTCCCCTCGGAGACCCAGGGCCTTGGAGGAGATTCGTCTGGTCAGGATCAAGGTACCCTGTCTTCCCTAGCGGTTGGTTCGGACTTTGGAGACTCTCTGCAGTCAATCGATCACGGAAACCATCCCGATTTCTTGGCTGAGCCGACGGGGAGTCTTTTCGACGCGTTTTTGGAAGTGGGGACCCCCATGATCGACCCATTCCTCGAGTCGGCCCCATTACCGTTGTGTCAGGCACGTTCTTGCTGCTTTTCGCTAGCACTCCAAACATTGACCCACCTCTTCCCTCATGCCCCGCTGGGCTGTCAGCTACGGCTGACGGACAGCGAGGACAGCTCGTGTAACCTAACGACGATCGACATGGTCATCTCGGGCAATAAGCAGGCTACCGATGCGGTCCGGAAGATCCTCGGGTGCTCGTGCGCGCAGGATGGCTACTTGCTGAGCATAATTGTCCTGATCGTTCTTAAAGTGCTGGGGTGGTATGCTGCCGCAGCAGGCACCCAGTGCCCCTCGTCGGCGGTGGGTGGAAATACCAGCAGCGGTAGCAGCAGCAGCTGTGGCAACAGTCCCGCCACCGTGTCCAGTAACCGTCTGTCGGAAGAGCGTGTACTGCATCTACCTAGTATGGTGGGTGAGCATTGTGTGGAAGAGGAAGACCAGCCGCGAGTCGCGGCCCAGCTCGTTCTGAGCGAACTGCACCGAGTCCAGTCGTTGGTGAACCTATTGGCCAAGCGCCTGCAAGAAGGCGGAGACGATGCAGCAGCGATAGCGTCGCACCATCCAGCGTCCCCTTTCGCACTACTCGGATTTAGTGGACTCGAGGCAAATCTCCGCCACCGCTTGCGTGTCGTGTCCGCCGACATCATTGATTTCCTGCATCGAGAATGAATCCCAGCCCCACTACCAGGAGCAGGAGCAGATGACAGGCCTCTTTCCCTATCCCTTGAAATTGGAATGATATCGACATGATATCAGCTCACCCGCTGCCCCTCACCCCCTTGTATTTGGTGCGTTTGCGCCTTCGGGGGGGGGGGGGGACAGGGAGGAAATCACAGCACGCCAGGATCTGTCTTTGTCATGGTTACATTGCATACCAGATTTCTCTTTCATTCGACCGGCCTTGAAAGGGCGAGACTGGCCGGTCAATCAACACACGCGCCCCACACCTCCCCAGTGATGAATCCATCGCCCGGTTAGATTTGGGTTCTGGATTGAGCCGTCATATTTGGTCCACACGAAGGAGCAGAGTGCAGAGTCGATGGCGTTAGCGTTAGCGTTAGGGTAAGTATTGCTTATTAGGGAGCCAAGGCTTAACAAGCCCTAAGCCTTAGAAGAAGCAATCGAATCAGGTGGGGTCCCGTGACGAAATGAGAAGAAATGATCGGCACATTGAAATGACCAATAATTCCCCGACTAGAGAGGATATAGTAAACCCCAGCAAGCATTGCAAATTACTTATAGTGAAAATTGTACATAGAATAGCGATGACCAGAATTTTGAACCATGTACATAATTTATATTGTATATTTCTCAATTTTTCTTTGTCGTTGTGGAGATATATATTTTCGATACACTAGTCAGATAAGACTAAAAAATTCGAAATACGGTATAGCCCCTCTATACAAAATCCCTTATAAGGGAGTACAGTACCAATAATATATATTTTTTTGTTGAAAAAAAAATATACAGTTAATTGCTTGATATTTTTAGTAATAAATCTTATCCATACAGTACCCTGGCTACACAAATATATATCTTCCTTCTCCATACTATTAAGTACTCTTCGAATACCCTTTAGACCACAGAAAAATTAATTATTATCTAATACAAACAATATAAAGTCTTTTAAAATTCCAGTTCTAGCTAGTCTATATAGGAATTTTACTATAGGAAATCCCCCGTCATAAGCAATTTAGATGATTTGCTCAATGAATTACGTATAACAGGGTTTTACCGTACGACATGTAACAATGATATCCTTTTTTTTGATTAAAATGATCCACCTTATTCGATTAGGAGCAATTTCGGACTCCGGTGTAGACCCAATAGAAGGCAAAGCAGGTGTCGCAAAGCGAAGACCAGAAAGTACGGTGCAGCAACTGGTTCTAGGCTTTGGCATGCGGGGAGACTTTCCGAGGATCGAAACCTTCCCAAGATGGCGGACATCCATTGGTCGATCTTGAGTTTTTGTATGCTTATCTTGCGTCACACAGGGCTCGACTCTCAGGATGCATGATTTCCAAGCTTCAGCTACCATATACACGCATTTTCCTACACGCTAAGTTATTGACATTTTAGATGGCTGATGATACACAAAGAATGATTAACTAAGCAACATGGTAACTCCAAGTAACTGCAGTCGTTTCAATATGGGAATATTTGGGGTTTTGATAGTGTTTTAAATAGGTGGTAATCTAGGAATGACCCAAAGCAACACGTTAACCAACCAGAATCAAGACCAAGGCCAATGTAACCTCACACAGGCAATGGGTCAAGCCATTTGTTGAAGCAGGGATTGAAGCCGGGGACTACCAGTGATACTGTGCACCAGCTGAACGTAAGACTTGTCGACGGAGAAAGGCTGGCCAACGACATTAGGGATCCAGCGTCCCACCAATTCGCAAGGCTTCACATCCCCCATCTTGATGCGTTCGGACAGATAGTCACGGTAAGGCTCAATCTCCCCTCGTAACATGGTCGAATGGTAGGGGATATCGATCCCTGGCAGCGGAATGGTCGCTCGACCCCTTTCCATGCGATCCTCGCGGGACACCTGCTCTGCCGTCGGGACGTGCTTCCAGACCATGGCTCGTAGCTCTTGGCCCTCAACATCCTCCGGTCGAGGGTGGCATGAAAGGTCATCGCATAACTTACCCAGCATCCAAAGGGCTCGGAACTGCGGTCGGGCGAGGGGAACACTGTCAGTCAGAAGGCCAAGGATGAGGGAAGAGGGGATAAGAAATCACCCACATGGCCTGCACAGACGTATTGCTGCGAGTGAATGTTGTAGTTGACGACTTCCACGAACCAGCCGGTCTCCTGGTGAATGATATGGACAAGACTTTCCAGGCTCGCCTCCTCGAAACCTGCGCCCATGTTAGACCGAGCAGCAGAAAGAGGAAGATAGATATCACCTTTCCCTATCCGCGATGGATCGGCAGCCAACATTCCATAGTCGGTGTGGCCATGGGCATCGCGCGGTAGCGCATTCTGCATCTTCAAGCCTCGGTAAAAGATGAGAGATATGAGATCTTCAAATGAGAGGAAGGAAGCACAAGCTCCAAGGGCGGCATATTCTCCCAACGAATGTCCCGCGAACCGCGCATCTTTTTGAACGACTCCCTGGGCTTTGAGCCATTCGAACTGAGCCATTTCCATCAGTGCCAAGGCGGGCTGAGCGAACTGGGTGGACATCAACAGCCCTTGGGGATAAGAGAAGGTGTATGAGGTCGAATTCGCCGTCAATCCCGTTAGTATCGGCGAATGTCTACCATCGGTCGGTGGCTGTCCCATCATGCGCAGATAGTTGGCACGGATACGGCGCCCTCGCTGGCCGCCAAAGTGAACGGTGAGAGTCGGAGGATTGTTTTGCACAATGTGCAGGATGGAGAACCCTGATGAGAGAGTTTAGTAGGAGCCACAGACGTCGAGATAGCAAATGACAGACCATATTTCTCCCACAAATGCTTGTCAGCGCGAGCCCACAACGCTTTAGCCTCCGGGCAGGTGACATACAGTTCCATTCCCATTCCCTGTCGTTGACTGCCCTGGCCACAGAAGACGTATGCCGTCGTTTCCTGCTCGACATTGGCAATTGCCTCCGCTACTCGTTCTTCCGTCCTTTCGTTGAATGCTTGTACACTCAAAACCATTTTCCCGTCCTTCATGGCCCTATGTTGCAGCTCCACCCGCAGAGGGTCGTTGGGGTGGATGGGCGCTTGCAATGTGATATGCCAGCTCCGGAACCGAGACCGGTCGGCATCCCCGATGGCCCATTCAGCAATTCTGCGCATTATAGCAGAAGACTCCATCCCATGGACAATGGGGCCCGACAGACCGGCGTATCGCGCAAAGGCCGGACACACATGGATGGGATTATGATCGAGGGAGACGCGCGCATAGGATTGGCTGCGTCGAGGGCCTCGTACGGCCACACTAGACGTGCCTGTCCACCCAGGATGCTGCAACTCCAGCAGCTGCTCCCGAGGCGCACCATGGCGGTGCAGGAAGTCCATCACCACATTCCCTGTACACGACTCGCTTTCAAAATATACGCGACCAAATGGTGTCGTTGACCCTTCGGGGCTGTAGGTGAACACGAACCCTGTTACCTGTAACAGTGCTAGCTGGCCGTCCAGCCTAAACAGCTTTTCACTCTTTACTCGAAAGAGGAGTTGCTTCCCGAGCAGATCTACCGCGCAATCTTCTCGCATGAGCCACTTGCGGCTGTGTAAAATAGCACGGCGTACTTCGGAGTCTACATGGACCACCATTTCAGGCTCCTCGGAGAGTTCGAAAGGGGTTTCACATGCCGGAACGGGGCCTCCAAGGAAGAAATCTGACTTGACGGTGACAACATGTTGTCCCTGGCGTTGAATTTCCGCTGACACCGTCAGCATAGTTCCCCTAGGCTTCACCGAGACCGCTAGGATACGGGATGAGGTTTTGACGATATCGCCCACCTGCAATGGTTTGGCAGATGGAGCATAGTCAAAACTGATAGCGCTGTGCAGCAGGTCCAGGAGGTCGCATTTTAGAGCGGACACCATCAGAGGCTTGGTAAGAGCAGACCAGGCGATGACCACGCAGTAGTCGATAGGTATACATCCTTGGGGGTGCCATGACTGCAGCTGAAGGGGACTGCTTTGCCGCAGTACCCTTTCGAAATCACGAATCTTGTCCGTTGTGATCATCAGATCTTCTCCCGTAAATTGCGAATTGAGACCCAACAAGGTGGCCTTGTTCGAGGAGCCCAAGTTCCACAGACTCATGTACAATGCCTTGATCTTGTCCTCGCGGCCAGACGCATCCTCCTCAAGGGTCCACTCATTCGGCTTCTGGTCGACCTTGAAGCAAAAGACGACGGTGGGCTCGGGGTTGAGTGGGATGTTGGGGGCCAAGGTGGCGAAAACACTTTGTCCATCGTTAGAGACTATCTCAAATACGACTTTAGAAGGCGACCCGCCATCTCCCGTGGGTGAAATAAGTCGAATCTTGCGAATTTCCGAGTCTTCTGTTAAAAGCACCTCGATGGTGTCGCCGCGCTGGGGCTGGAGTGCGGCGCGAATGGGGTTAGGCAGATGAGAACCGTCCCTAAGGATCGATTTGCTCATCAAACATGTCCGAGCCCATGACCTCGACAGTCCGACAATGTGCTCAAAAAGAACGTCCATTTCGGGGACGGCACCCACCTTCTGGAACTTATAGAGCCCTTGAACCCTATTTGTCGTTACTTTGAGCCCAGGAAACGCGCCGAGAGGGCATTTTTGCGTGAACGAGTGTACATCGCCGATAGAACTTTCTCTTGAATCAGCTTGTAGAGCTTCCACGTAATACTTAGAAATATTGTGTAGGATGTCTTCGACGGACTCATTGTCGGATGTTGAGTACTGAACGGCCACAGGCCCTTGAATGATGAAGATTCGCTGGACGTCCTGCCCAATCACCGCCTCTACATCTTCAGATTGCCACAACGAGTCTTTTTTAAACCAGGTCTCAAAACGCTCATCCAACCTGGGGATGAATGGGACAGGCTTGATATCACGTCGGCTAAACAATTGCATTAGAAGAGCGATATCTTCTGGATAAAGCGTGCAGTATGCTTTATCCTTCAGGCTTTCTTCCACCCGGGCGGAGATGTCGAGTGGATGTTCGCCGGGGTTGTCAAT